TATATATATATATATATATATATATATATATATATATATATATACATTTATAAGCATATATAAGTTTGTGTAAATTAATAAATATAATATATACATATATTTTTACCTGGATTCTTTCCAAGCTTCTGCACATGCTAATTGAACATTAATTTTTCCATTTGATACAGTTTTTAATGCATCTAATGCATTGAATTGTATGAATGCACCATCCTGATGTTTTAAAGTTAATATATTGTTTGGAAATACCATATCTGGCATATGTGGTAGTTCTAAAGTATGGCTGAAACTAGGAAAGTATTTATTATGTAATATTAATTTATTATAATTTTATTTAAATAATCAAATTTATATAATATACATGCAAAATTGACAGGCATCAGCATCTTTATCACCACAACCACTTTCATTTTTGGAACATTTAGAATGGAGTATATGCGATTGTGTATATTTAATATGCCATGGTGGAAATACATGTTCCTCTTGATTTACAGGAAGTCTTAAGATGTCAATTCCACCATGAATTTTCACTGCTGTCATGATCTAAAATTATATATATATGTATCAATAATAAATACATTAACATTGAGATAAATATAAAAATTGTTTTCAATCATCAAAACAATATGATTATAAATATCAATATAATGTTAAAAAAATGTAATTAAATAATAAAAAATTTACTATAGTCAATTAAATAATAATTAATAAAAATAAAATAGCATACTGCTTCATTAATGTAATAAATGACACATTTTTTTCGTTACGTTTTAACTATAAATTTTAACATTTTTGTTATATTGTTACTCAATATTAAAAATTATGCACTTTCATATTTTTTTTACTTAATAGTTGATTTGTTTTAAATTTATTTTACTGTTATTGATAACATTTTATAACCTGTTACATACAATTTATAAGATATACTCACAAAAACTACTTATTAAACTCTTAATATTTATTTTCAAATAACATCGTAAATATTATTTCAATTATCTAGTATTCACTATTATTCTTATATAAAATTTTTATTCTTTTTTGTTATTGTAAATTTTATTTGAGTGTAATCGTCTGATCATAATACTTCATTACCGACTGTGCATAGAATGCAATTGGTTTCTTTATACTTCCTAAAATCTCTATATTCTTTGTACTTCCTAATTATACAGTTTTCATTTACGTATAATTAAAAAATAACGCTTCGATACAATATTATTAATATGCATAATTCAACTTAAATTGAAAAATATTTTCTAATCTTAAAAAATGTATATATTATAATAAATTATTATAAATGATATAAAAAATTAAAGATTTCGAAACATCAAAAATTAATTAAAATATTTTTTTATAAAATGTTTGTTCAAAAAATAAAATATTATAGATGATATAATAAAATTTATAATAAATTAGAATGAATTTAATAAACAATGCAAGTATGAAAAAAGATGTGATAATGAGCAAATTTTAGATGTCACTTAATGAAATATAATGATAATTATCTCGTCTGACAAAAATGAATTCTGGCTGAAATTTTACGATTACAGTTTCTTCGCTCTTCTATACAGAAATAACTGAAGTGATGAAGATTCGGGCGAAACCAATCAGTTCTTCTTGAGTATAGGAAGCAGTTACGTGTTCTCGAAACGTGTGCATTTAAGTTTAGTATGTCGATCAAAAAATCAAATTTATCTGTGGGATTTACCCAAGACAACGTCGAACGAATCACAGAAGAAAAAAGATTTTCTCAAAAGAAATATTTACAAAATATCAAATCAATCGCTGGTCATGTTGGACTTTTAATTGCATTAATGCTTTATACAGCGATTGGTGGTTTGGTAAGTTAAATTTTAATATATATATTTTTAAAGAAAAAAAAATGAATTACATGTACTTATTTTACTTTTTACTATTTTTTTTTCATATCAAATTTAAAAGATATAAGTTGATAGATAACAATTTTTTTTAATTGATGAGAGAATTGCGCGTTAAAGTCTTATAAATAATTTAAAAATATATACGAATAGATTTGAACGAAGGACGATATTTAGCTAATTATTATTAAATACCATCTATTTGAATTCAAATGTCCAATTATTTTTCATTTATTTACGCAAGTTTAAATGGAATGTAATATTTATAGAAATAACAACGCGAATCTGTATTTCCATGTGGTATCTTATTTTTAGCAATTGACCAATCGTACAGTACGATTAACTTTTTTTTGTTAAATATTTGTGTATTATCATATACATGTGTGTGTGTATATATATATATATATCATATTATTAATATATACATATTATTTAATTATTTTAAATTAATTTATTCGTTAAAAATATATTATCATTAAAAATATATTAATATAGGATAATTCTTTTTTTATAGAATAAAATAACAATATTATTGAATTATAAGGTAAACATACATCCAAAATATATAAAATGAAATTAAAGAACGATTCACTTGAGATTCAAGAGGTTTACAAACACGCGTATCAAATGTCATTATTAGCAGTAAATAACGTCATTTTTAAAGTTTAGAACTAAGATAATATCAGGGGACAAAATATTATATGAATTCGCTTAAATTTGATTATTATTATTATTATTAATCTTCATTGACAGGTTTTTCGATATATTGAACTTCCTGCAGAATTATCACGTTTGGAAGCTTTACGCGCCAATTTACGCGTTCATAGATATTCATTCGTTGATTCGATTTCCAACAATAGTGATGTGTTAAATTTGCGCAGACTGGTAAGTCAATATCTTGAGCATCAATGGTATATTTTTTAATTTTAATTCGAAATAATACTTATCTTACAAATATGATCAAAATCGAATCGATCTTTGGAAATATACTAATAACCTCTGAATAATTACAAAGAATGGCAAAGGATGTTTACAGGTTAGCGTGAAATTACGTGAATATGAAGAAGTGGTCCAGGAGGCAGCACAAAGCGGTTTGTTGATCACTTTCGTATCTGACACGATCGATCAAGAAAATCGAGATACGACTGATTTGCCTCCTATTGTAATTGAAAGATGGAGTATTCTTCAAGCTGTTTTCTTTGCAAGCACTGTTCTCACTACGATTGGTAAATAATAAATATATAAATAAATATATAAATAATAATGAATAAATGATTAAATATCTAATTTTTAGATTTAAACTTATGCCTATTAAAATATTGTGCACGTTTACGGTTTCTTAATACGTATTTAATATTTCGATATTTATTTTCTTTTCTCTTTTTGTTATTTTAAGGATATGGAAATGTTGTTCCATCGACTAATGGAGGAAGGATGTTCTGTATTTTGTTTGCTTTCATTGGTATACCTTTGACTTTAATAGTAATAGCTGATTTGGGAAAACTGTTTGCCAGAGGTGTAGTTAAGATCGCTTTGGCAATGAAATCAAAACTTCCGTTACACTTTTCCTTCTCCTGCATTCCGACGAATTTAGCTGGAAGACGATCGCTCGGTTAGTTTGTTCAATTACATAAAATGGATATATTCGAAATTATAATTAATTTTATATTCAAATGATTCAAATATCTGAAATAATATAATTATATTATTTTCATATTTTTTATAATATAAATTAATTTATAAATATTTGCATTAAAAGAAAATATTTATAATCGATATTTTATATATATATATATATATTATTTTATCGTACGTAATATTTATATAGGAGCATTTGCTGCAATTGTCCTGCTTTTTTTGTATCTCGCCTGTGGTGCAGGTATGTTTATGTTATGGGAAGATGACTGGAATTTTTTTGATGGATTTTATTTTTGTTTCGTGACGATGACCACGATAGGATTCGGTGATTTAGTACCAAGTAAATATTAAAATATATATTAATTATATAAATCAATTTGGAAACAGTTTTTAGAATATCATGTAAATTCTATTATATAGTATTTTTTATTTTACATATTATACATACATTAATATTTGTATTCGCGTAATACGTTTACAAAATATTACATATATTTACAAGTTATACTTTCTATCGTCACTTATATACAGAAAAACCGAAGTACACATTATTATGTACTCTCTATATCTTGATTGGTTTGGCATTGACAAGCACTATTATTGAACTCGTAAGACGTCAATATGCTCAATCATGGAGAAGATTACAGAGGCTTAGTGGACCATTGGCAGAAACTATTCGTAGGTTAGGCGAACAAGCTGGTGGAGATATGTCGGCGCTTCATTCAGATCTTAGGTAATTATCATTTTATGAATTATTTATTATAATAATAAAAATAATCATATTATTGTTAATTTTAGAAAAGTTTTAACAGTAATATCAATGCCACGTCTAAAATGGTCAACTTCTCTCAATCGAGAAGATACGAAAGATCAAGATTGGGAGGAGGCAGTGGAAGCTGTGCTTCGAGATATTGCTGTAAATGCTAATAATATTCAACCAAAGAAAAAACAAATAATGCAAATAGTTATTTACGAATCGAATGTTTGATTAAAATTAAGATCTATTAAGATGTGTATATTTAAGGATAATTTTGTTTAATTTTTATATTGAAATATCGTTAAAAGAATAAGTTATATTTTTGTAATATTTAATGTGAACATTGCTTTATTTAAATTTAAAAATTTTACCCGCGTATACTGCGCGCGTCGATAAATAAACTTGCGAACGCGCAGAAACCATTATCCCTAAGTTCGATCAGTAGTCCTAATGTTGGACTGGCGAAATCGACGAAAACAATAATTTGTAGACGAGTAATTACTAAATTTAGAAATCAGTACCGCACGAAGCAGAACAAAAAGTGTTGTTCTGCATTCGTTGTCGGATTTTATAGTGACGTCTACGTTTCTTGAATCAGTAATAATTCAGGTTTTATGGTCCAGATCATGCAAAATAGAAACGAGCGCCCATCGGCAATTGTGTGCATTGCGTATCATGTGCGTATTTGAACTGATCATCTATAAAAAAATACAATCGCAGTGGTGCTCGTATTTGACAGTTTTATATAAAAAAAATCGTAGTTATATGTGTGTATATATGCAGTGAATTAACAGTATTAAATGAATCTTTGATTTCAATGAACCTTTTAAAACTATTTGTCATTTATTCATGTTATATAATGCACTTTTTATATAAATATATTATAATTGTTCTTGAATACTTTTTAAAATATGTATAATGTATACATATCATACATTAAGTTTATTGTAAATTCTCAATATGTCTGATTCGCATCACGCCACCACGTGTATTTATGTATACTGTTTTGGGCGCGATTTTTGAATTTGTTATGATAACATAAATTATTACGTAATTTTAATAGAAAAATATTCTGTTGATGCGACTATACTGCGATAATTATTTATTCTATAACAAAAAATTAATTATTTTTTTATTCAATTCTTTTTCATTTAGCAATTAAGTATAATGACTGGTATTAAAGATCCAACTAAACAATCCGATTTAGAGAAAATAAAACAAGAGAATGAACAAATGAATGTTATTGTTAAAAAAAGTTTTATGGATATAAAAAATATGTACATGCAACGATTTTTCGAATTTTCTAAAGACATGGCAGAATCTTTCAGGTGATTACAGATAAAATATAATATAACTATTCAATAAGAAATATATTAAATATTTTTCTATTTCTCAGGTCAATATTAGATAACTTAAAAGTTCGCATTGAAGAATTTCATGAACAGAATCAATCTATATTTGATCTATTTTCACTTTCACAACTACAAAAGTGGTCCCAATCCCAACGTGAACAATAATTTGAAGTATGAAAATATTGATGTTTTTTGATAGATATGTTTTTAAAATTTATAATTATAAAATAAATAACTTGACCAAAATATATATTTACGTTCGCATGTTCTTGATGAAATAAAATCATTATGTATATTTAAAATCGTAAAATTAATAAAAAAAATATTATGAAAATATTGTTTATTTTTAAAATATCTTAATTAACAAACAATAGAAAATAATTAATATAATATTAAATTATGTCATTAACTATATATTTTATACTTAAAATTTTAAATGTAGTAGTTGAGTATATGAGTATTATTTAAATGCTCAATGTGACGACGCATCTACATCGTACGCCATCTTAATTCGAGTATGGTTGCCGCCAATGTACTACGTTTCTGTAAATTTTATAACTTTGTGAATTCTTAAAAATTAATATTTTTTTTTGAATTAATGATTACGTATTTATTTTTTACATAATACATTTTTGTTCATTTATTTCTATATATTAATATGTCACAACAATACTGTTTTCTTTGCGCAAGTGATGGTGGTGTTTTCTTGGATATTACGGAGGATAATAAACAAGTATATTATGATCAATTTGAGATCTGCTCACTTGTTAAGGTAGTTTTACATAAAAAATTACATGTTTAAAATCACTAATTTGCTAGTGAATATTCAAATCTGATTAAATTTTTTGGATCAAGTTTGAACATGCGTCGATATTTGCATTGAATAACGTAAATATACGAATAAGAGATATTTTTAAATTAATTTATCAATAATTATGTTTAAACATAATGAAAAATCTACCGTTATTGTTAGCCAATCTATTATAAAAAAATCATATTGTAATATTAATTTTTTAGAGTTATTAATTTACAAATATAATTGAGGTTAAGTAAAGCTATCTAATTATTTTATACAAAAAAAACTTATATTATTGTAGTATGAAATTGAGATTATTTTGTGTATAACTTACAAATTTATACATTCTATTTAGATACAAATAATTTTATACTGTATAATAAATTAAAATTTTCTATATTTTTTATAAAATTTATAAATTTTGTTATATATTAAATTTTTTACAATATTATGCTACTTACAATTTATGTAAATCTATATTTATAAATACTATAATCATCTCTATATTTTTTTAGATTTAAGTTATATTCAAAAATGATATTGATTTTATGAAAATATTTATTATTAACATATAAAAAAAGATAATTTATCACAAATTAAATATAATTGCCAGAATATTCTAATAAGTACTACTAATTGCAAATTGGAACCTTTTAAATATATTATTATGTAATTTTTTATATTTTGTAATATTATATATTTCTTTTATAATATATATTTATCTTTCTTAATATATATATATATATATATATATATATATATATATATATATATATAT